CCAGTCCCCTGATCATCCTTGTGGCCCTCCTCTGGACTTGTTCCAACAGTTTCATGTCCTTTTTGTGTTGAGGACACCAGACCTATGCACAATACTCCAAGTGGGGTCTCACGAGAGCAGAGTAGAGGGGCAGGATCAATTCCTTCGACCTGCTGGTCACACTCCTTTTGATGCAGCCCAGGATATGTCTGGCTTTCTGAGCTGCGAGTGCACACTGCTGGCTCATGTTCATTTTCTCATCAGCCAACACTTCCAAGTCCTTCTCCTCAGGGCTGCTCTGAATCTCTTCTCTGCCCAACCTGTAGCTGTGCCTGGGATTTCCCCAACCCAGGTATAGGACCTTGCACTCTAGCATGGCTACTTGGAGACTTCAACACATTTGATAGTTTTTATCTCATACCTTTTTACATTGAGGTATTTAAATTTATTGTTACCGGCTTAAAACATCCTTGAAATGTTACCTTTTGGGTTTGACTGCATTTTTAAATTGTTCCTTTCTTGGTGCTGTATCTGATATGTTTATGATTAGGCCCCAATTCAAGCTGTCAAAGTGCTATTGTTACAAAGTATTCCCACTCCTGCCATCTACATGATTTGCAGAGTAATACAGCATTTCAGGCCGACTTGAAATACAGTATAGCAAAATGAAGCTGAAGGGATGTATTCCTCCTTTTGAATCTCTTTCCTTATCCTGTGGATAGCTGAAAATTATTAGCACTTTTGATTTTTATTTTTAAATTAACTTTCTAGGCAGTCTATTTTATTCAAACAGTTGTAATATGAAGCATATGTGTAAAATGCTTGTTTGAGTTAAAGGCAGCAATTATTGAATAATTCATGTTTGGGTTTAGTGTTTCCACATGTGACACCCAAAGGAATTAATGACATAGACTTTAAAGGAGAAGCTATAACTTTCAAGGCAACAACTGCTGGAATCCTTGGTACACTCTCACATTGTGTTGAACTCATGGTAAACCGTGAAGAAAGCTGGCAAAAAAGACTAGATAAGGTAAGATAACTTTCCTTTTACTTTTGTTCAAAAAAAAAATTCTTTAGCTTGAAATGGAAATTTCACATTAGTTGGTTTTAACTTTTTATTCCAGCGTTTATTAATTTTAGGTGCTTTCATAATTTATTACTCTGATTAAAATGTTAAAACCTCATCCTGGCTGTTGGTGATACAGTAACATGATTTATTGTATTCTTTTTTTTCCCAGCCCTTGCTCATATAGTGTTCCTATGTTTTTTTTATATCTATAAAGAACCTGATAGTATTCTACAGTAGTAAGTGTATTGCTTGCCTTCCTCTAAAAGTCCTAATTATCCATGCTTGCAAAATGTTTGTTGAATGTTGAAATGTTTTAATTGTGATAAGAGATGGTGGCAGTACTGAGGAGAGCAACCAGTTCTAACTTTAAAAGTCTATGATACAGTTATTTCACTCACCTTTAGGATAATGAAGAGATTCAAGTCATGTTTTATATCAATTGGTTATTGCTTTAAGGGTGTGTGTGGTATATCTGTTATTCTTATAGCAGTGATAGTTTGTGGTAAGCCTATTCAACCACTACAGCAACTCAAAAGCAGCAGTGTCTTCTCTCTTCAGATGAGAATGGATAGGGTGTACTTCAGGCTTTGACTTCTAGAATCCTGCCATCACTGGCTGGTGTCCTGTACAGTCCTTTAGCTGTTGTTGCCTCCTTTTTAATTTAACGTTTCCATATGGTACATATTACAGAATCACAGAATCCCAAGGGTTGGAAGGGACCTCAAGAGATCATCTGGTCCAACCCCCCTGCAAGAGCATCCTGTACATCACACAGGAACTTGTCCAGACGAGCCTTGAATATCTCCAATGTGGGAGACTCCACAACCCCCCTGGGCAACCTGTTCCAGTGCTCTGTCACTCTCACAGTAAAGAAGTTCTTCCTGATGTTAACATGGAACCTTCTATGCTCCAGTTTACACCCATTGCCCCTTGTCCTATCACTGGATATCACTGAAAAAAGCCTAGCTCCATCATCCTGACACCCACCCGTTACATATTTGTAAACACTGATGAGGTCACCCCTCAGTCTCCTTTTCTCCAAGCTGAAGAGACCCAGCTCCTTCAGCCTCTCTCATAAGGGAGGTGTTCCACTCCCTTAATCATCTTTGTGGCTCTGTGCTGGACTCTTTCAAGCAGTTCCCTGTCCTTCTTGAACTGAGGGGCCCAGAACTGGATGCAATATTCCAGATGCGGCCTAATATTACACTTCAAGTCTTACTCCATATATGTTAGTGATGCACAATTCAAAGAATGAAGTCATTCAGACAAAATACATCCACATTTAAATCCTTGCCCGTCTCCTGGCTCTTATTTGTCTGTATGTCAAAGGCCTGGTCCTATCTAATTGTATTGTGACTTCTGTCAACAATTAATTATTGCTTCATCTAGGTACTTGGAAGAATTATAGCAGACCTGACACTTGAACCTTGTTCATGAGATCATAGGGTAATTCAGGTTGGAACAGACCTCAAAAGGTCTCTAGTCCAATCTCCTGCTTAAAGGAAGTACAGTTTGAGATCAGACTGAATTGCTCAGGGCTTTATCAAGTCTTATTTCAAGTCTCCAAAGCTAGAGACTGCACAGCCTTTCTGTGTGGAGACAGTGTTCTCACAGGAGAATGGATAATTGGTACATGAACTCTGAATAATCCCGAAAGATAAAGCAAGGCCATGAGAGGCCTGAGGAAGCTTAAGCAAGCAAGATAAGGAGAAGATGGAATTCACTGAGTTATGAGAACTGTGGGCTGTTGGCAAGCTTTCGAGGTCAAGTTCTCACACCTGTGCTTAACCAATTATATGTTAGTCGCTAAGGGTCTTCAAGACATGTATCCAATCATAATATGCCAAATCACTGTAAGTGCATGTAAGCAATAGTATATAAGGAGTTAAGGCTTTGCAATAAACGGCTTTGGTCTAATTGTATTGATCTCTGACTGAGTCCATATATTTTCTGCGGCATTTCTGGGCAGCCTGTTCTGCTCAACTGCTGTTATAGTGAAAAAGTTTTTCATTATATCCAGTTTGACTAGCTCTTATTCTAGTATCTACCTATTGTTTTTCATCTTCCTACTAGAGACTACTGTGAAGAGCCTGGCTCAGTTTCTTGATGACCTCCTTGGAGGTATTGGAAGGCCACTGTTAAGTTCCCTAAAAAAAGCCTTCTCTTCTTCAGGCTGAGTAAACACAGTTCACTCTTGCTGAGCAGACTTTGCTTAGAACACGGATTAAGTGAATTTCTTCTTGTCAGTACATTAGTATACACGATTAAAGAATATAGAATATATGTTAATATAGAATTTGAATTAGTTTAATTTCATGTTTTTCTCCTTCTGTGGACTAACTTTAAAGCACTTGTTTTTTGCTACAAGCTATTAACAAATTCAAACCTAAATTTCACTTTGAGTCTCATGTGACTGATATCTCATACAGCAACATACCACCTCATACAGCATGAGTAAATACATTTTAAAAGGGGTCACAAGCTTATTTGGACTTGGTTTCCCAGAAATTAAAATAGAAACATCTTCTAAAAACTTGGAGATTTTAAGTTTCTCTGCTTTGTTAGACCTGCAACTTTGTCACACTCGTCTGTGAAATTTTCTGGGGTTTACAGCATACTCATGGTGAAGTACTGTAATTCTAATATAAAATAACCTTTTTTATTTGGATTCCTCTAATTGCTGTCCTTTTAGAATAGGATATTTTAATTGGACTAAATAATATAGAATTGTGGTGGGTTAGCCTTAGCTAACAGCCAAATGCCCACCCAGCTGCTCACTTGCCACCCCATCCAGCAGGACTGGGGGGGGTGGGGATGGGGGGAATAGGATGAGAAAGACAGGGAGATTGCTTACCACTTCTTGTCATAGCAGAATTTGGGCAAAATCAATTTGTTGCTGATTAAAATTGGTACAGTTAGTGGGAAACAGAAAGACAAACACTAAAACAGCTTGCTTTCCCCATTTTTTTTCCCCAGTCTCAACTTCACATTTTCACTACAGGCCCCTCTACCCCCAGCTTGCTAGCCCCAAGCAGTGCAGAGTGGGAGAGGTGGGGAATGAGGGATTTGAGATCAGTCCAAAACACTTGGTCTCTGCCATTCCTTCCTCCTTACACTTTTCCCCTGCTCCAGTGCGGGTCCTTTCCAGGGCTGTAGTCCTCCAGGGAAAACTCTGCTCCAGTGGGGGTCCTCCCTGGAAAATGGTTCATTCAGGAAATGTCCCTCTGCTCTAGCATGGGGTCCTCCATGGGTTGCAGTGTGGATATGCTATCTGCTCTGGAACAACTCCTCCTCCTCAACAGAGTACTGTTGTATTACATCTTGCTCTCCTTCCCTCTCCAGCTTCCTCACTCCACTAGCTTCAGAACCAAGTTTTGCTTGACAGCAAAACACAAATGTGATTAGTGAGAGTCCTGCTACTTCACAAAACTATACAACCTCCATCTTGTAGAGGGACAGTTTAACCTAAAGATGCGATGAGATGTCTGCTGAACTTGAAGCAAATATATTTCAAAATTATAACTGTCCTCCAATATTTCTAATATTAAAAAGCTCAAGTTCAGTAGAATTTGTTGAATCTGGAGCTGGCTACAATTTGAGTACGTTATAAAGTGAGTATCTTTCTGTAGAAACCCTATTTTTTAAATACATGAAAGGTTTTTAAGTTACATTCTGAAGGTTGGAAACTTTATTTTTAAACCTTTTAAAACAAGAAATCATTATAAAAACATCTTTTAATTTTGAAGATGACTACTAAAATAGTGCACTTAATGATTATAATTTTAGAATTCTATATTTAGTTTTGTCTGTTGCCAAAAGATTCAGATGGCCAGAATAAAATTAATACAAAAGCATGTCATGTTATTTAAAGCTAAATGTAGTTGCAGCTTTGCTTTTGAACTTTTCTTCATAGCTGTTAAGATCTTGAGCTTGACTTTTTATTTTTCCAGTGCAATATATTTTTCAGTATGAGCCTCTTCGGTGTATTCTTAAAATAGACTTTTAAAAAGAAAATGGATAAACAGGGAAAGGATTTAATCTTTTTTATTTGGTTCATTTTTTTATTTGCAGCATAATCCTTATGATGATGTTTTTCTTGTTGTCATGACTACAGCAACATTTTTCTATTCTTGTTTCCTTTGGTCTTAATAATTGGTATTAATGTGCAAAATTATTTTCTGAATGTTAAATTTTACTTTAAGATTAACATGTTTGGGTAGTTTATTTTGTACACCTTTCACAACTGTAATTTAAATGTCTCATTAGATTTTACAGTTTTAATACACCAGTAATTTTTCTGCTGTGCAATCAAACAATTTCTCAATTTCTGCCTTATTTAATGTTGTTGCTGTCCTGGGTTCAGCAGTAGCAGTCATTTTTCTCCTTCTTAGTAGCTGGTGCAGTGCTGTGTTTTTGACTTTCAGCCTGGGAACAGCGGTGATAACACTGATGTTTTTAGTTGTTGCTAAGAAATGTTTAATCCGACCAAGGACTTTCTGAGTCTCATGCTCTGCCAGGGAGGAGGGGAAGCTGGGAGGAAGCAGAGACTGGACACCTGACCCAAACTATCCAAAGAGGTAATCCATGCCACAGCACGTCATGCCCAGTATATAAACTGGGGGCAGTTACCCGGAAGGGCTATATTACTGCTTGGTTCGGTCTGGGTATCGGTCGGTGGGTGGTGAGCAATTGTATTCTCTTCCCTTGTTATTTCCCTTATCATTATTATTACTGGTGTAGCAATAGTGGTTTGTGTTATACTTTAGTGACTGGACTGTTCTTATCTCAACCCGTGGGAGTTACATTCTTTCAATTCTCCTCCCCATCCCTCCGGGAGTGGGGGGAGGAAGGGGGGGTGTGAGCGAGCAGCTGCGTGGTTCTGTGTTCCTGGCTGGGCTTAAACCACGACAGTCACCAAGAGAAGCTTACAGATATAGAGAGTTGTCTTTTGACACATGTGAATCATCACTAATTTGCAGACTGAAGTACAGAAAGTGTGGGGATCAGGGGGCTGTTGTTTTAGAGGCTTTTTTTTTTTTAATTCCAAGTGTTCTGGTAGAAATTCTATGCTTTCTCTCAATGACTTACACTCAAGTCATGCTTTATTCATCTTCAGGACTCTTCAGTTACTTTCAAAATAGGTAAGCTTGCAAAATTTCACAAAACAATTATTAGCTGTTATCAACTGTTTGTGGTAGTTCCAGGAAGGGAAAAACCTACATTCACATATAAAGGCAATACTGTCTTCATCTAAGTGTTGCTCTTCTCATAAGAATTTTCCTGTGGAAAACTTACTAATTTATTTTGCATCAAAGCTTTTGCTTTATTTTTCACATTTTTCTTTAGGAACTGGAAAGTATGTGTTCCAGTGTGAACATCACCACCAAATTCTCATATGGTAAACTCAACCTTTAAGTGTTGATAAAGGTTTTCCACTGAATCATTGAATTTCAGATTGGGTTGCTGAATAATCATACTCGTATCTGCAAGAAGCAGTGTGTGGTATCTGGTTGCCAAAAGAGAATAGAGAAACATCTTATGTACTAGAGATGAATTCTGCAAGAATTTCAGAAGTATTTATAGCTTTTTCTCTGGGAATATCTGTCAGTATGTAGAATTTGCAGAGGAAATGATAGGTTCAATCTGATTTGAGCATTACTAATTCTTTATTCTAAATATACAATAGTATAGATATCATTAGTGTCTGTAGTACACTCACACCTATTATGGGAGAATGATAATTTGTTAGTCTCTGCACGGAGTTTACAAAATGATTTGCATGCATCCTATGCCACTTAATTATAGAGAAAAGCTTCTTACTTGCTGTGATTCACTAGTATCTCACCCCATTCAACATGTTAGCTTTCTACCAGTCTTACTTTTCATCCTTTGTTATCACTGCCCAAGCATCTGTGTTAAGAAGTTTATATAAACTGACAGATACAAAGTCTGATCCTCAACAAACCATGAATAGCTATGCTTAAACTAGATACCAAATTTTGCTTGCTGATCTAGTATTTTCCACATGCCTTGAAGGTATTCTCAAGGTAGCTAGCTCCCCAAGCTTTGTATTATATGTACATGTATATGGGCATATATAATTCATACATTCAAATTAAAAAATTGGCAGCTTTTCAATTGTTACTTGGGAAAAAAAACCCAACAAAACTATACTGGTCATTCCATTTATTTGCATGATGACTATTATTGGACAATTCATTCTTGCTGTATCAAATGATCATTTAAATTTACAGGAGATAGAGAAAAGGAGAATTGAAGAATCATACAAAAATGCTGTGACAGAACTGAAGAAGTCCCACTTTGGAGGGCCAGACTACGAGGTACAAATTTTGCTTTTCAAGTTTTAAAAATTGCTAAGGCCTTTGAATATTGGTTTGTTTCTTAAAGGAGCGGGGCACTGATACATCCCAAGCATACCAGTCAGATGCCAGCACCTAGAATAAATGCTTGGAGCAATGCAGAGTTACTCCAGCTGCTTCAGGCAATGAGTCGGCTTTACTAGGAGATCAGCTCAGCTGCCTCTACACAAATGCATGTAGTATGGGGAATAAACAAGAGGAATTAGAGATGTGTACATGACTACAGGGATATGACATTGCTGGAATCAAAGAAATATGGTGGGATAGCTCCTACGACTAGAATGTTGGAATGGAAGGTTATAGGCTCTTTAGGAAAGATAGGCCGGGCAGACGGGGAGGGTGTGTAGCTATTTATGTCAATGATAGGCTGGAGAGTACAGAACTCTGCCTAGGGATGGGTGATGAGCCAACAGAGATCTTGCAGGTCAGTATTAAAGGGAGAACAGTGACAAGGGTCATTGCTATGGGGGTCTGCTACAGGCCATGTCGTGGTTTAAGCCCAGATGGTAACTCAGAACCATGCAACCGCTCTCTCACTCCCCCCCTACTTCCCTCCCCCAACTCCCGGAGGGATGGGGAGGAAAATGGAACAGTCCAGTAACTAAGGTATAATACAAAACCACTACTGCTACCACCAATAATAATAATGATAAAGGAAATAACAAGGGGAGAGAACATAAAACTAAAAGAGGAAAAGGAAAACAATAAACACAAATACAGTTACTCACCACCCACCGACCTATACCCAGACTGACCCAAGCAGCAATCTGAGCCTTCTGGGTAACACCCCCCAGTTTATATACTGGGCATGACATGCTGTGGTATGGAATACCCCTTTGGCTAGTTTGGCTCAGGTGTCCTTTCTCTCCTTCCTCCTGGCTTCCCATGCCCCTCCTCACTGGCAGAGCACAAGACTGAAAAAGTCCTTGATTGGGGTAAAAATTACTTAGGAACAACTAAAACACTGGTGTTTTATCAAGACTGTACTCAGTATAAAGTCGAAAACGCAGCACTGCACGAGCTACTAGGAAGGAGAAAAATAGCTGTTAAAGCCGAACTCAGGACAAGCCACCAGATCAGGAGCACTGCATATATAAACTCCTTTATAGGAAGATAGGAACAACTTCACACTTGCAAGCCCTTGTCCTCATGGGGGACTTGAACCACACTGTTATTTGTTGGAGGGAAGGTATGTCCCAGCACAAGCAGTTCAGGAGGTACCTTGATTGTGTGGATGACAGCTTCCTCATACAAGTGGTAGAAGAGCTGAGAAGTGGAGCCATTCTTGACCTTGTGCTCACCAACAGGGAGGGGCTGGTTGGGAATGTGATCATAGAATCATAGAATAGTTAGGGGTGGAAAGGACCTTAAGATCATCTAGTTCTAACCCCCCTGCCATGGGCAGGGACACCTCACACTAAACCAAGTCACTGAAGGCTCTGTCCAACTTGGCATTGAACACCGCCAGGGATGGAGCACTCACAGCTTCCCTGGGCAACCCATTCCAGTGCCTCACCACCCTCACAGGAAAGAATTTCTTCCTTATATCCAATCTAAACTTCCCCTGTATAAGTTTTAACCCATTACTCCTTTTCCTATCACTAGAGGCCCTAATGAATAGCCCATCCCCAGCATCCCTATAGTCCCCCTTCCAATACTGGAAGGCTACTATGATGTCTCCACACAGCCTTCTCTTCTCCAGGCTGAACAGCCCAAAATTTCTCTGCCTTTCTTTATATGGGAGGTGCTCCAGTCCCCTGATCATCCTCATGGCCGTCTTCTGGACTTGTTCCAACAGTTCCATGTCATTTTTATGTTGAAGACACTAGAACTGTACACAGTACTCCAAGGGAGGTCTCACGAGAGCAGAGTAGAGGGGCAGGATCACCTCCTTCAACCTGCTAGTGATGCTCCAAGGCAGCCTTGGCTGCACCGATCATTTCATGGTGGAGTTTGAGATCCTCAGAACAGTGAGAAGGGCACACAGCAAGCTCACTGCCCTGGACTTCAAGAGAGCAGACTTTGGCCTGTTCTGGAGCCTGCTCTGTAAGTTCCCATGTTATAAAGCCCTAGAAGGCTGGGAGCCCCCAAAAAAGTGGATGATATTCAAGGATCGCCTGTTCCAAGCTCAGGAGTGATTTGTCGTGACTAGAAGGAAATGGGGCACAAAAGCCAGGAGGCCTCCATGGATGGACAAGGAACTGCTGAGCAAACTCAGATGGTGAAAAAAGAAGCTTATACATAGTGAAAAGAAGGACGGGCGGCCTTGGAGGAATACAGGGGTGTTGTTTGGTAAGCTAGGGATCAGGTCAGGAAAACTAAGGCCCAGTTACAATTGAGTCTGGCCAGGGACAGAATCGTAGAATCATTGAATAGTTCGGGTTGGAAAAGACATTAAGATCATCTAGTTCAAACCCCCCTGCCATGGGCAGGGACACCCCACACTGAACCATGTCACCCAAGGCTCTGTCCAATCCAGCCTTGAAATGCCAGGGATGGAGCATTCACAACTTCCTTGTGCAACCTATTCCAGTGCTTCAACCACCCTCTCAATAAAGAAGCTCTAACCTAAACTTACCCTGTTGAAGTTTGAACCCATTACCCCTTGTCCCACCACTATGGTCCCTGAAGAAGATAGGGTGAGAAAGATGGGGCTGTTCAGCCTGGAGAAGAGAAGGTTGCGTGGAGATCTCATAGAAGCCTTCCAGTATCTGAAGGGTACTACAAGGATGCTGGAGAGGGACTCTGCATCAGGCACTGTAGTGACAGGACAAGGAGGAATTGGTTTAAACTTAATAAGGGGAGATTCAGATTAGATATAAGGAAAAAGTTCTGTACTGTAAGCTTGTTGAGGCACTGGCACAGGCTGCCCAGAGAAGCTGTGGATGCCTCATGTGATGAGGCACTGGAATGGGTTGCCCAAGGAAGTTGTGAATGCTCTATCTCTGGTGGTGTTCAAGGCCAGGTTGGACAGCGCCTTCGGTGACATTGTCTAGGATGAGATGTCTCTGCCCATGGCAGGGGGATTGGAACTGGATGATCTTAAAGTCTGTTCCAGCCCTAACCTTTCTATGATTCTCTGATTGATTGGACAGAATGTGTTTGTGGGTAAATCAGTTTCTGTGGCTGTTCAGGCATGTTCATGCTGCTTTTTATACCTTGAAAACTGAAACTGCATGAAGACTCAGAATCCTTACTGTTTTGGGAATAGAAGTTTGTTTTCACCTCAGGTTACCTTATTCTGCTTTGGTCTAAAATATTTTGCTTACAGATGTTTCTGCTGAATTCTTTTTATTATTTTAGTATTTTTAAAGAAAAGATAGATAGAAAGTTGAACTTTTTCTACCTGGTTATGAATTCAGCTGCTTCTCCCAGGTATCCTTGTTGTAAAGTAGGTTTTTGAAATTTGCTAGACCAGTTTGTTTTACAATACAATAAAGCAGTAAACCTAGTTTTCTTTAATTGCCATTTTACTTAGAGTACACAAGTTTTTAATAATTGACTCAAGTCTACCTTCTGTTTGTTGTTTAATGGTTCTTTCCAAGAAGTTTCAATAGTGATCCCCAGGATTTTGTCTTGTGTTGTTGTGCGTTCAGCACATATCTGGACAGTGGAACTGAGTGCGCCGTCAGCAACTTTGCCGATGACACCAAGCTGTGTGGTTCGGTTGATACACTGGAGGGAAGGGATGCCATCAAGAGGGACCTTGACACACTTGTGAGGTGGGCCGATGCCAACCTCATGAAGTTCAACCAAGCCAAGTGCAAGGTCCTGCACCTGGGCTGAGGCAATCCCAGACACAGCTATAGGATGGGTTGAGAAGACATTCAGAGCAGCCCTGAGGAGAAGGACTTGGGGGTGTTGGTCTATGAGAAAATGAACATGAGCCAGCAGTGTGCGCTCGCAGCCCAGAAAGCCAACCATATCCTGGGCTGAATCCAAAGGAGCGTGACTAGCAGGTTGAAGGAGGTGATCCTGCCTCTCTGCTCTTGTGAAACCTCACTTGGAATATTGTGTACAGTTCTGGTGTCTTCAACACAAAAAGGATATGGAGCTGTTGGAATAAGTCCAGAGGAGGGCCACAAGAATGATCAGGGGACTGGAGCACCTCCTATATGAAGATCAGCTGACAAAGCTGGGACTGTTCAGCCTGGAGAAGTGAAGGCTGCGTGGAGACCGCATAGCAGCCTTCCAGTATCTGAAGGGGGGCATATAGGGATGCTGGGGATGGACTCTTCATTAGGGACTGTAGTGATAGGACAAGGGGTAATGGGTTAAAACTTAAACAGGGGAAGTTTAGATTGGATATTAAGGAGGAAATTCTTTCCTGTTAGGGTGGTGAGGTACTGGAATAGGTTGCCCAAGGAGGTTGTGAATGCTCCATCCCTGGCAGTGTTCAAGGCCAGGTTGGAAGAGGCCTTGGGTGATATGGTTTAGTGGGAGGTGTCCCTGCCCATGGCAGGGGGGTTGGAACTTGATCTTAAGGTCCTTTCCAACCCTGACTATTCTATGATTCTATGATTCTAATTAAAACCTAAATCTGGTTTCAAAGCATATTGACACTGTTGCTCAGTCTTTAGTTTCCTGTTTTTTTGCTTGCTTTGTAGAGCTATGCCTAAATTGTAATTGAAGTAAATAACTTCCTTCAACAATTAGGTGTTTCAGATGAATTGTAATGTAAGAATATTGTTGAAAGTAATTGAGGTCTTTGGAAGAAATTTCCTTCTGCCTGTTTTATGCATTATATGTAAATATATATTTCTAATATTAAACTTAAGTGGGGCATTCATGTGTCCAAAATTCTGAACTAGTTTTGTTATGTTCTAGGAGGGTCCTAATAGTCTTATTAATGAAGAAGAATTCTTTGATGCTGTTGAAGCTGCTCTTGATAGACAGGATCAAATGGAAGAACAGGTATTGATACTTGAGAAATGTGTTAATGATGAGCACTTCATGGAAAACTTCTGTGACGTACTCAGTCCTGGGGTGCATCTCCTGAAACTCTAGATATTTTATACTAACACATGTGGAATTCTCTAATATTTATACAGTTAAATATTGTTGTGAAAATGACTTCACAACTTGCATAGAAAAGGATAGTATAAGTGTTAAGCTAATTGAATGTCTCTGGTTTCTAATTCCTAAATAAGTGTATTAGTACTGTTTAAAACTTATTATATGTAACTCATTCCCTGTGCAAATTAGAATATCAAACACTGCAGTTATTTTTCTAAACCTAGTTATTGCTCTGAAGTTCCTTTTGACTGTACCAGCATATGAAATAGGAAAGACATAGTTCTGTTGGTGTTTGTTTTTATTAAAAAATTGTGTAGGCTCTGGCTATGTCTCTAACTCATTTCTTGAATATAATTCAGTGACAAGGATCAAAAAGCGATAAAATGTGTGTGATGAAATGTATAGAATATGAGAAAATATAAGTAGTGTATAAAATGAGAGGGAATACAAAGTAGTGCCTCCCATGTCTTAAAAGGTTTTAGGCTTATGAATATAGTGAATACAGTGACTTGGTTAAGAATTATAAGACATGTCTTATATAAGGCATATAAGTGTCTTATGTTCATATAAGTGGACATATAGCACCCAACAGAGTTTATCTTTGTTGGGGCCTCTTAGTGGAAAGTAAAGGTTTTGAGTGACTGTTGTAGTACTACATGGATGCAACATCCTTAATTTTGCCAATCTATTTTGCTTAACCTTGAAGTATAGACAAATGGGTAATTCAGTCTCCAGGCCCATTCACTTCCTGAGAACTCCAGAAGGATGACAACTTCATGTCTGTCATGGACAACATTAGTTGTTGTAGCCATTATATAGATTGAAGATGCCTCATTTGGTTTCATAGTCCATCCAGTAGCAGCTGACTACCAATAATTAAACCTATTTTATTGCAGTCCCAAAGTGAAAGATTATGCTGGCCAACATCCTTACCTTCTGGAGATGCATATTCTGCTGTGGGGGCTCATAGATTTGTCCAAAAGGTAAGATATTTCTCATTACCTGCTCTGAATACTAGGCTGTATTCTATTTCTGCATAATATTTTATATGGATAGGTAAGATTGGGTTTTTTTAATTAATTTCTTTAGGTGTTCCTAGTATAACTGTCAATGGTTTACTCATTTTCAATTGAAGTAGCTGGAATGGACTGTTTTCTGTCTTGGCTAAAAAAAATTACTGATTTCAGTATCTATTTAGAATATACTACACTTGTATCAAGCTTGTCAGTTAAGGAATATATTAAAGGAGGAAGAAAACCCCAAACAAACTGAATTTGCTAACCTCAGTGTTTTTAAGATACTGTCATGGATTAAACCCAGCCAGTAACCAAGTACCATGCAACTTCTTGCTCTCACCCCCCTTATATCCCCCCCAGATGGGATGGGGAGGAGAATCAAAAGAATGTAAAACCCACAGGTTGAGATGAGAACATTTTAATAACTAAAATAAAGTACAATATAATAATAATGATAAGGGGAATAATGAGGAGAGAGATGTTAAACTGAAAGGGGAGAGAAAAAAAAAATAAACCCAAGTGATGCCCAGTACAATTGCTCACTACCTGCCAACTGATACCCAGCCCAACCCAGTGGCAATTGGTCCCTTGTGAGTAACCCCCCCTCCCACTTTCTATACTGGACATGACATGCCGTGGTATAGAATACCCCTTTGGTTAGTTTGGATCAGGTGTCCTGTCTCTGCTTCCTCCCAGCTTCCCGTGCCTCTCCTCCCTGGCAGAGCATGAGAGACTGAAAAGTCACTGATCAGGGTAAGCACTACTGAGCAACAACTAAAACATCGGTGTGTTGTCAGCATTATTTTCAGACTAAGCCAAAACACAGCACTGCACCAGCTACTAGGAAGAAAATTTACTCTATCCCAGCCAAAACCAGGACAGATACCCTCACCCAAAATCATTTAATTGAGTAAAAAACAAAGCAAAACAAAAACAGTCAAGGATCAGTTGACTTTGTTTAGTTTTTTTAGTGAAAACACTTTATGCTCTTCTTAGGGCTACACTGGACACATTGCATAATAGGTGCATGAAATCAGCATTCACTGCTGTGCTTGCTGCTTATGTTGATTTTGTTTTCCTTCATTATCTAGTACTTGCAAGTTGGTACTGAATGTTCTGTTGTGCCTTTGCTTTGATTACTTGGTTTTTTCTTTGTCTGTCTCTGGTGGCCCTATAGTCACTCTTCCTCCATGTCTTCCATTAATATAGTCAGTGCCTTGGATGTTCACAGGTTCAGCACCCAGGTACTGTATTACTGTGTAGAGTGGGGGTTGCATATCTTTGCTGTGTTTCATCCTCTTCTCTGGAACATGAAATTTTTGTTTCAGCACTGCTAGCATTAAACTAGTCTGTTAAAACAGAAAATAAGTTCTCTATTCCTGTACTAAGTAGTTGCCTTTGAGGATTTCTATTTGATTCAATTACTTTTTCTTTTCCTGGTCTGAAGTGTATTGCCCAAAGGGTACATCGTACAAACAAAATTACTGAAATTAAGTAGAAGTAAATAACATCTTTCAATTCTATATCATATCAGAAAAATTTCATTAAGTATTCTTTAATTTTGCTTTATACTTGTACTACTTCCTAAGTTATGTTTTATAGGTTATAAAGCCTAGTGTGCATAGAAAATACTTTCATAAGTTGTGCAAAAAACACTTATAGGTTCAGGCTATTAATCTTGTGATTGTACACCTCAGACTAATCTGTATGTTGGTCAATTGACTAACATTTGCTTGTAGTGCTTTTCCTTTTTTAAAAAAGGTATTTCTAGTAATTCAGGAAAATTGTGTCAATTACATGGACTTATTTTCTGTGATGAGTTCTAGTAGTCGGTGACCTTTTAGGTTGAAAAGCTATTAAATTGTTTCCATCACTTGTAAACTTTACACAACAATGGATACTTTATTTTTGTCTCAATTTTTTTTGTTTTGTGGGGGAGTGGGATTTGGAAATTGGGGGAACAGACACAAAAGAAACAGAATAGAATAAAACTGTAGATTTAAAATAAAAATCCATTTCCTGTCGCACCACCTATTTTTATGCATGTTATTTGAAAAAAAAAAAAATGTGCTACATAGCTTGATAAAAATGTATCAAATATTTGGCCTTTAAGAAAAACATGCAACTGTCTAGCTAAGTAAGTTTTAAATGAGCATTTTATAATAGTGGAGCCTCTGCATCATTCTAATTTTTTTGGAATGTAAGCACTTCTGTTCATTTTTTCCAACAGGCAACTGTGCAAAGATGCTAATGAAACAGAATAGGCATGCTTTGCTTATGCCCATTTCCTTCACTGCTGTTTCAATATGACTTTTGATATGCATTCACTTTTTTAGAGCTTGTCTGTCCCCCTTCTTTGTTCAGCATTTTAAATGCCCTTCAGTGAATATTGGCTTTCAAGTTTTCCAATATATTGTAATTCTATTTGGAGATACCTGAAGTAATTTCCTATATACTGAAATAAAACTGTCTTAGGTTGAAATAGTGAGTTTTGACAGTTTAGAGGTGCAAAGGAAGGATACGGAAGTACCCATAAAGAACGAAGTTGGAAGTTGAGTCAAGATTTTGGCTTTTGTTTCCAAAGGCCAGAAGTATCTGTTTGTTTTTGGTCTGTGATAGAAGGCTCTGTTGTAGAAGTTCAGCTCCTGCACAGGATTTGAATTATTGACTTGTGGCTTCCAATACTGTACCAGTCCCCTGTCCAAGAAGATGGAAGGAATTATTTAAAAATGTGTATTCTTTTCCTTTAAAGGTGGAAGAGATGGTACAAAACCATATGACATACTCCTTGCAAGATGTAGGAGGAGATGCAAATTGTCAGGTAGTGGTAGAAGAAGGAGAAATAAAGGTAAACATTTGGGTTTTTCCTTAATTGATAAGAGATGATATGCTGTAAAGACGGATATTTTTACTCTCTTTGAATACTATCACGCAGCAAGTTATGCTGTTAAAATGTCTCTCTGAGAATAGAGAACTTGAGTCCACAAGAGCTGCAGATTCTAATATATTTTTTAATGCAAAATCTTATGCAAATCTTGCAATAGCTTTGTCTATTCAAATTCCTTTCTCATTTTCTCCTACTTAAAACTTGGTATCAAAATGGTGTGTAAATTCAATTTATGAAAATGTTATATGGTAGCAAGTTATTGTTGGCTATTCCACTGTGCTTGTATGCATTCTTGTGCATAGTGATAAATAAGATAGCTTAATTTTTGGAGTAGAGACTCATAATACCGGTATTTTAATGTGAAGTGCCATGCACGAACATCTGCATTGGTAGTTACCAGAGAACACTGACATGATAAATTATTCATGTATTAGTCTTCTAGGTAAGTTTTTATCAAAGCTGAAGAAACTTTAAACAGTTAAAACACACATCAGTAAAGAGGATCAGTACTAGTGCCTCCAGGAAAAAGTGGCAGGTCATAGTAATAGGTGACTACTTTCAAGGTCACAGGGGCACCCATTTGTCGGCCTGACACAGTTTCGAGAGAGGTGTGTTGCCTACCAGGGGCTCAGATCAGGAACGCTGCTGAGAGGCTGCCTGGTCTAGTAAGTCCCACTGACTTTTCATGGGTGCTTAGTGATAAACACAGCAGTAGCCTGGAGAACATCAATAAAGACTACAGAGCCCTGGGAGAGGTGGTTAGGGACTCTGGAGATCAGATGATAGTTTTTTCAATACTCCAGGTCAGACGGGAGGACATTGAAAAAAACAGGAGGATTAGGCAGGTTAATAAATGGTTAGAACGATGGTGCTATGGTCAGGGGTTTGGTTATTTAGAACATGGGACTTGATTTGGGAGGCCAGGTCTACTGGAGGCTGGTGGAGCTGTTCTGACAAAGAAGAGCTGCTTTGGTAGGAGACTTGCCAGGCTGGTCAAGGCAGCTTTAAACTAGACGTAAGGATATAAGGAGGAAGTTCTTTACTGTAACGGTGGTGAGGCACTGGAATGGGTTGTCCAGGGAAGTTGTGAATGCTCCATAAATGGCGGTGTTCAAGGTCAGGTTGGACAGAGCCTTGGTTTAGTGTGAGGTGTCCCTGCCCATGGCGGGGGGTTGGAACTAGGTGATCTTATGATCCTTTCCAACCCTAACTATTCTATGATTCTGTGTTGGGGGAAGGGGGCATTGATCCATCCCAACACTCCCAGGCAGTTGCCAGCACCTGTAATAAATGCTTGGATCAATTCAGAGATATTTCAGCTGCTCCAGCCAATGAGGCTTAATTTGGAGCTCAGCTCAGATGCCTCTATAAAAATGCCCGTAGTGTGGGGAATAAACAAGAGGAATTAGAGATGTGTGCATGGCTATGGGGATATGATATCACGGCCATCACAGAAACACGGTGGGATGGCTTCTACGACTGGAGTGTTGGAATGGAAGGTTACAGGCTCTTTAGAAAAGACAGGCCCGGCAGACGGGAAGGGGAGTACCTATTTCTATTAGTGATAGGCTGGAGAGTATGGAACTCAGTCTGGGAACAGGTGATCAGTTAACAGAGAGTTTGTGGGTCAGACTCAAAGGGAAAATGGCGATAGGAGACATCATTTTGGGGATCTGTTACAGACCGCCTGGTCAGGAGGACTCTGTGGATGAAGAGCTCTGTAGACAGATAGGAAAAGACTCATGCTCGCAGGACCTTGTCCTCATGGGGGACTTCAACCACCCTGATATATGTTGGAAGGATGGTACAGCCCAGCACAACCAACTCAGGAGTTTCCTCAGTTGTGTGGAATACAACTTTCTCTTTCAAGTAACAGAGGAGATGACAAGGGGAGGTGCCATGCTTGACCTTGTGCTCACCAACATGGAGGGGCTTTTTGGGAATGTGGTGCTCCAAGGCAACCTTGGCTGTAGCAATCATTTCATGGTAGACTTTGAGATCCTCAGGACAGTGAGAGGGGCACACAGCAAGCTCACTGCCCTGGACTTCAAGAGAGCAGATTTTGGCCTGTTCGGGAACCTGCTCAGTAAGGTTTCATGGGATAAAGCCCTAGAAGGCAGGGGGCCCAACTTACAATACAAACATTGTTCTTTAAAGCTAAAGATACTTTAGAAGACTAGCGCGAAACAATTAAGTCATATTTTGTGGGGCCACTAAATTCCACAGACTTACAACATAAGCATTGTTCTCTTTCTACAACCTAAGTTAAGCTAAAAAGTACTTTAACTCTATGTTTTAAAGGCACTAGCTTTTCTTACATCAAGTCATCCCGTCCCCCCCTTTCTTTTAACTTTACAAATTCTTTTGCTGTGTGACTCCATTTTGCTCAAGAGTTCTGGCCCTTTTTAACTTGTTGTCTAATCTTGTGTCTTTAGCGAGCTGTGTTTCTGTTATTGTAAACTCGTATACTTATATCCACATAACCACACCTATGATTTGCGAAAGCCAATACATTTATGTGTTTATCACACTGAGGAAACTTAGAGGGGAAAAAAGAAGCTTATAAAAGGTGGAAGCGAGGACAGGTGGCCTGGGAAGAATACAAGGACATTGTCCAGGAAGCTAGGGACCAGGTCAGGAAAGCTAAGGCCCAGTTAGAATTAAATCTGGCAAGGGATGTGAAAGATAACAGGAAGGGCTTCTATAGGTATGTACCCTGGATATGGAGAAGGCTGAGTTTATTAATTACTTCTTCGTGTCAGTCTTAACTGGCAAATGCTCTGACCACACCACCCAAGACATGGAAAGCAAATTCAGGGACTGCAAGACTGAAGACCTTAGGCACACTGTAGGAGAGGATCAGGTCTGAGACAGTCTTAAGAACCTGAACGTGCACAAGTCCATGGGACCTGTTGAAATCCATCCGCGGGTCCTGAAGGAACTGGAAAATGAAGCTGCTAAGCCACTGGCCATCATATTTGAAAACTCATGGCAGTCAGGTGAAGTTCCAGACCACTGAAAAAAGGGAAATATAACCCCCATTTTCAAGAAGGGGAAAATGGAAGACCCAGGGAACTACAGACCAGTCAGTCTCACCTCTGTGCCTGGCAAAATCTTGGAGCAGATTCTCCTGGAAGGCATGCTAAGGCACATGAAAATCAACAAGGTGCTTGGTGGCAGCCAGAATGGCTTCACTAAGGGGAAATACTGCCTGAACAATTTGGTGGCCTTCTATGATGGGGCTACAGAACTGATGGACAGCGGTAGAGCAGTTGATGTCATCTACCTGGACTTGTGTAAAGCATTCGACACTGTCCCACATGACATACTTGTCTCTAAATCGGAGAGACACCAATTTGATGGATGGAACACTCGGTGGATAAAGAACTGGCTGGATGGCTGCGCACAAAGAGTTGTGGTCAATGGCTCAATGTCCAGCTGGAGACCAGCAACAAAAGTGGTGTCCCTCAGGGATCTGTGTTGGGACTGGTCTTGTTCAACATCAACAGCGGACACACTGGAGGAAAGGAATGCCATCCAGAGGGACCTTGACACACTTGTGAGGAGGGCCAATGCCAACCTCGTGAAGTTCACCCAAGCCAAGTGCAAGGTCCTACACCTGGTTTGGAGCAATCCCATACACAGGTACAGGTTGGGCAGAGAATAGATTCAGAGCAGCCCTGCAGAGGACTTGGGAGTGTTGGTTGATGAGAAACTTATCATGAGCCAGCAGTGTGCACTCACGTCCCAGAAAGCCAACTGTATCCTGGGCTGCATCAAAAGGAGCATGACCAGCTGGTTCGAAGAAATTGATCCTTCCCCTCTACTCTGCTCTCATGAGACCACACTTGGAGTACCGTGTACAGTTCTGGTGTCCTCAACATAAAAAGAACATGGAGCTGTTGGAGCAATTCCAGAGGAGGCCATGAGGGTGATAAGGGGCCTGAATCACCTCCTGTGTGAAGCAGGCTGAGAAAGTTGATGCTGTTCAGCCTGGAAAAGAGAAGGCTGCGTGGAGACCTCATAGCAGCCTTCCCGTATCTGAAGGGGAGCTATAGGGATGCTGGGGACAGACTCTTCCTTAGGGACTGTAGTGATAGGACAAGGGGTAGCAGGTTAAAACTTAAACAGGGGAAGTTTAGATTGGATATAAGGAAGTTCTTTACTGTGAGTGTGGTGAGGCACTGGAATAGGTTGCCCAAAGAAGTTGTGAATGCTCCATCCCTGGTTGTGTTCAAGGCCAAGTTGGATGGAGTCTTGGGTGAAATGGTTTAGTGTGAGGTATCCCTTGCCACAGCAGGAGAGTTGATCTAAAAATCCCTTCCAACCCTAAGTGTTCAATGATTCTATTATAATAGTTTTGTCAGATTTTGCTCTGCATTTCTTTCTTTGTATTTGGACATAGGTGTACCGAAGAGAGGTGGAAGATCATGGAATAGTTTTAGATCCTTTGAAAGCAACACATGCTGTTAAAGGGGTAACAGGGCATGAAGTTTGCCACTACTTCTGGAATGTCGATGTTCGTAACTACTGGGAAAGTAAGGAATCAGTTCTTAAGCTTTGCATTTTTATCAGCAAGCGTATTGTTTATAACATTGACCTGATGTTTGTGCTTGTTTACTGATGGATTCCCCCCCCCCCCCCTTTTAGCAACAATTGAAAATTTCCATGTTGTGGGAAATTTAGCTGATGATGCAATCATCATTTACCAGATGAATAAGGTAATAACACTTCACCTGTATACACACCTTAGTTAGACAGCCTGGGGCATATGCGTTCTGATTTATTCTGAAATACTTTAACATCTTAACAATTTAAAATACTATTCAAAACAGCAGTTCAGAACAGGTTCTCTGTTAAACTGCAACTTTTTCAATTTTTAAAACTTGGCTTGATAGCGTAATTGGATGTGTATGTGTCTGATAGGGCTTGTAATAACAAATGAGTTCTTTTTTTCATCTAAATATATCACTGCCAGCAAACAAGGGTCATCTAAAACAAACTAAAGCAATAAATTGACACTGACTACAGGGATGAAACCAATACCAATGTGTTTTGTTACAGTAATGCAGGCTATTGTTGAGCACGATTAGTTGACATATTCATTTGCATTATGATGTGGTATAATTGCTGGTACAACATTTGTTCTTTCACAGAATCACAGAATCCCAAGGGTTGGAAGGGACCTCAAGAGATCATCTGGTCCAACCCCCCTGCAAGAGCATCCTGTACATCACACAGGAACTTGTCCAGACGGGCCTTGAATATCTCCAATGTGGGAGACTCCACAACCCCCCTGGGCAACCTGTTCCAGTCCTCTGTCACTCTCACAGTAAGGAAGTTCTTCCTGATGTTAACATGGAACCTTCTATGCTCCAGTTTACACCCATTGCCCCTTGTCCTATCACTGGATATCACTGAAAAAAGCCTAGCTCCACCCTCCTGACTCCCACCCGTTACATATTTGTAAACACTGATGAGGTCACCCCTCAGTCTCCTCTTCTCCAAGCTGAAGAGACCCAGCTCCTTCAGCCTCTCTCATAAGGGAGGTGTTCCACTCCCTTAATCATCTTTGTGGCTCTGCGCTGGACTCTTTCAAGCAGTTCCCTGTCCTTCTTGAACTTAGGGGCCCAGAACTGGATGCAATATTCCAGATGTGGCCTAACCAAGGCAGAATAGAGGGAGACCTCTCTTGACCTACTAACCACACCCTTTCTAATGGACCCCAGGATGCCATTTGCCCTCTTGACCACAAGGGCACATTGCTGGCTCATGTTCATCCTCCTATCCACCAGGACCCCAAGGTCCCTTTCCCCTTCACTACTTTCCAGCAGGTCAGTCCCCAGCCTGTACTGGTACATGGGGTTGTTCTTCCCCAGATGCAAAACTCTACACTTGCCCTTGTTGAATTTCATCAAATTTCTCCCTGCCTATCTCTCCAGCCTGTCCAGGTCTCGCTGAATGGCAGCACAGCCTTCTGGTGTGTCAGCCACTTCTCCCAGTTTAGTGTCATCAGCGAACTTGCTGAGAATACACTCGGGTCCCTCGTCCAGGTCGTTGATGAAAATATTAAACAGCACTGGTCCCAGCACCGACCCCTGAGGGACTCCACTAGTCACAGACCTCCAGCTAGACTCTGCACCACTGACCACAACTCTCTGCCTTCTTCCTTCCAACCAGTTCTTGATCCACCTCACTACCTGATCGTCAAACCCACACTTCCTTAGCTTATCTATGAGAATGCTGTGGGAGACAGTATCAAATGCCTTACTGAAATCAAGAAAAAACACATCTACTGCTCTACCATCATCCCTCCACCTAGTCACTTCCTCATAGAAGGCTATAAGGTTGGTCAAACATGACTTCCCCCTCATAAAACCATGTTGGCTGTTCTTAATAACCCCCTCATCCTTGATATGCCTAGAAATGGAGTCAAGAATAAGTTATTCCATCACCTTTCCAGGGACAGAGGTAAGGCTGACCGGTCTATAATTACCCAGGTCCTTCTTGCCCTTCTTATAGACTGGTGTGACATTTGCCATCCTCCAATCCTCAGCACCTCTCCCGTTTCTCATGACTTACCAAAGATGATGGAGAGTGGCCTAGCAATGACCTCCGCCAGCTCCCTCAGCACCCGTGGGTGCATTCCATCCAGACCCATTGATTTATAGATGTCCAGATTGCATAGCTGATCCCTAACCCAATCCTCATCTACCAAAGCAAACTCCTCCTTTGCCCTGACTCCTTCTGGGGCAATAGGAATCTGGGGCCCCCGGGGAGAGTCTGCAGGAGTAAAGACAGAGGCAAAGAAGGCATTCAGCACCTTTGCCTTCTTTATATCCTCTGTCTCCAGGGCACCCACCTCGTTCAGCAGTGGGCCTATATTGCCTCTTGTGTTAGTTTTATTAGCTATGTATTTGAAGAAGCCCTTTCTATTGTCCTTAACCCGACTAGCAAGATGGTTTTTCTCCCCAACCAGCTCTGATGTAGCTTTACTAAAATATTCCTATCAACCCAATAACTGCAACCTAACAGCTTATAAAAAAACCCTGGGAATGGAGTGAACAAATTCACCTTTAATCTTGCATGATTCCAAGTATTAGTATACTCAAATACTCAAATGTTAAAACAAATATTTTGGGTTTCTTACAATTTTCCTAATAATGTTGTTAACTTAAAGCTGCCTTAACAGCAGATTCCAATTTTTAAATAAGGCATTTGTATGAACTGTATAGTGTCGTGGTAAAAGTTAGACATTTTTCCGCTCTTCAGTGTCAGTAAAATGGCTTCTGTGTAGTCTTACTTTATTTTGTCAGACACTTTGCTTCTAAACTTTCTCTTAAATAATACCAGTTTACCATATCTGTTTCACTAAAGTAGAAGTTTCTTGAAATAATATTTTTTATAAATGTCTTTCTCTCTTTTACTCTCTCTTTCTGTCTCTCTCCATATTTATGGAGACATAAATAACTATAGGTGCATCTATTTATACTTAACCAGTAGTACAGTTTGTAGCTTACAAGTATTAACTGAAATATAAACCTGAGGTTGAGAGAACAGGAAGGGAAATGCCTCTTCCTGGGTGTCTACTGAAAAAGTAGCAGGTTGGCTCCCTGCCTTTCAAAGGTCTTAAGATTTTGCTTTTTTTTTTTTTTTTTAATTAAGCATAGACATATAACCTGATAAACATATGTACAACACCTGTGTTCTGTTTTAATTTTGGAAATTGCATGAAATTGCTAACTTAAAGAAACTTCTTTATTTAAATGACGATTGACCTGTTTTGCTTTGTTTGTTTGTTTCCCTTATCTAAGATTAGTAAATACTTAATTTGCAAAACTAGAAAAGCTTATATTCAGGTGTTTCTCTGCAGAGGGTGTGGCCAGCTTCTCAAAGGGATGTGCTGTATTTGTCTGCCATCAGAAGGATACCAGCATTCAATAAAAATGATCCTGAAACATGGATTGTGTGAAATTTCTCTGTGGAACGTGACAGTGCTCCTGTAAGTGTTATTTTCATTCTATCAAGTTCTCCTTTTAAGATACCAATTTTCTATTATGTGGTGATGGTCTGTCAGTACTAATGGGGGAGGAGGAAGTATGCAGAAATACAGTTTTGATTCGGAGAAAACTCCAGGAACAAACTTGCCAACAAAGTCTTCAAGCTGACAAGCAGGTATTCTTCATTGCGGCGCCGTGAGAAGGGGATAGCTCCTCCTAACGTGTGTCTCTGTATTGCTATACAAGCCATCCTTATATAGTCCCTGGGCATACCTACATATTCATGACGATATGTATGGATTACATCACTTTCCAGAGAGTTCCCCGCATGCGTACAGAATTGTGGTGGTGGTCTTTGAGGGTCGTTTACTTCTTCCAACAATCTTCATCACTTCTGGCAGCCTTTGAAGCACGCACAGTAGATGCTCATACCAGTTTAATTGGTTCGTTAGCACCAGAGACATAATAATCCTCCCATCCTCCTACTTATCAGTTAGTTTACCTGTAGCACATCCTGGACACCTGCCATTCCCAGATACCCCTTATCCCTGTGTCCTGTTTTTCTAGGCTGTTTTTTTCTTAAAGCTATGTCAACTATAACGATTTATCTTGTGAGAATTCTCAGTATGTTCTCTAGCTGCACTCTCTCTCTGTATTTTTCTCTATGTATCCTGCACCTCAGTAATTTTCCATTGCTACTGTTACAAAGCCATCAAACTTAACATTACTTAAAGCTACTTCTAAAGATTTTTATATCCCATCTTGTAATTTTGTGCCCTCTCCCTTGTCTCAACTTCCCCCCCTTTTTCTATCCTTTTGCAAATTCTTTTGCAACTCTCTTTTCTTTTCTATATATTACAATTACCATCAAAAGTCTTTTTTAAATAGTTTCCCGTTTCTATTTGGTGCTTAATTTCATTCCTTTTCCAGTCTTCATAATTTATCACAGATCGTTTACAACACCAGAGGGAACATTGTATCATACCACAAGTAATCAATATTAAAACAACACCAATATTCCTGCAACTAGTTGCCTCAACCAGGAGAGACTGGGTAACCATGAAGTGAACTTTTTCCATATTTCCTCAAAACCCCAGGAAGTGTCATCCATGGCCATTTCATGAAATATCTTAGTTTGTTTCCAATTTTCCTCCAGATCTGTTTCAATTCAGACACTTTGGTCTATATAGGAACAACAGCTTTCATTGTTTATGGAACAAACCCCTCCTTGTGATGCCAATAACATGTCTTGAGCCTTTCGGTTTTTTAATACTACTTTAGACAGGCTGGTTATCTCTTGTTGTTCTGCCTGGATTATATCAATGTTTTTGCTTTCTATTTCCTCTATAGTTGCTGAGATACTTACAATTGCCTTCTCCAATTCACTTACTCCCAAAGATGGAATTAGCCCTCTTACAAAACTATGAAATGCGGTGTGCCGTTCAATAATAGGGTTAAACCCCCGTTTAATCCGTTTAGCAAAACTTCTAACCCGGGTCCCAGAGGGGTACTTGTCAATAATAGTAAAATTGTTATTACGGCACCTAAGGTGCATGCCCCCTTCCAGTTGGGGGGTAGAGTCTTATAAGCATTTTTTCCACATAGCCAATACCATCCTTTCCCTTTTGGAACGGGCCACCACTGAACTACGATACCATCTATAGTAATAGTATGATTGCAATTTGAATGGTGACCTACATCTGTGGCATTTAAACAAGCAAAATTTCTTACCCTGGTTTCTGGTGTAATACATCTTTGTGCACAGGTATAATATTTGTTATCTACATTAGGATTAACTATTCCAAATTTTAAACTTTCTTTTAAATACAGATTACTAGTGTTCACCCACAAATTTGTCCATGAGACAGTGTTAGGAATTGGAACTCCAATTAATGGGAGATTCAGGCTTTCTCCTGATTTAGGCAACTGTGCACACACCCAACAGTCACTACGATTAAAAACATTAGTAACATTCTGCACTAATTTCGGGTATAAGTTCTGGTCCCAAGCTTGTGCGCCAGATATTATGAGAGTCCAAATTATGACCGACGCAATTTCATACGTAAGGGTCCAGAAGGTTCGATCCGCCATGTCTTCTCTGGCTCTGGTGCTTTCTTAATTCTTGAATAATGTATCCAAGCAGGTTGTTCTTTTATCTTCACTGCTGTAAAGGTGGTCAATAATATCTGGTACGGTCCGCTCCACTTCTCCTGTAGAGGATCTCCTGAAAAATTCTTAACATAAACCCAGTCTCCAGATCTGAAAGGGTGAATTGGATAATCCAAACCTCTGGCTCTTATCCCTACTATTCTCTTATTTATCTCCTCCAACTGTTTTCCCAGATTGATCAGAAACTGTCAGAGATAGCCTTCTCCTACTTCCTGAAGACTCTCTCCTTTAAACTGGGACTGATACGGTCTTCCATACAAAATCTCAAATGGGCTAACCTCTTCTTTTGACCGGGGTTTAGTTAGAATCCTTAATAGAGCCAGTGGTAATTCTTGGTACCAATATAAATTCGTTTCCTTACCTATTTTACTAATTTGTTGTTTGATCAGATGGTTCATCTTTTCTACTTGCCCACTGGCCTGAGGCCTATATGGAGCATGTAGTTGCCAATCAGTTTCTAATTTTTTGCTAATTTCTTGTAACAATTTTGCGCTAAAGTGCGAGCTTCGGTCAGAAGAAATTGCCTCTGGTACCCCAAAACGAGCTTATTATCTCGTTAAATAGTATTTTAATCACTTGTTTTGCATTAGTATTTGAAATAATTTCCCGTTTCTACCTGGTGCTTAGTTTCATTCCGTTTCCATTCTTCGTAATTTATTATAGACCGTTTACAATACCAGAGGGAACATTGTATCATACCACAAGTAATCAGTATTTAAATAATTAACACCAATATTCCTGCAACCAGTTGCCTCAACCAGGAGAGATTGGGTAACCATGAAGTTAACTTTTTCCATGTTTCTTCAAAACCCCAGGAGGTGTCATCCATGGCCATTTCAGGAAATATCTTAGTTTGTTTCCAAATTTCCTCCAGATCTGTTTCAATTCTGCTACTTTAGTCTGTATAGGAACAACAGCTTTCATTGATTATGGAAGAAATCCCTTTTTGTGATGCCAGTAACATGTCTAGAGTCATTCAGTTTTGTAACATCACCTTAGATAGGCTAGTTATCTCTTGTTGTTCTGTCTGGATTATATCGATGTTTTTACTTTCCATTTCCTCTATGGCTGCCGAGATATTTACAATTGCCTTCTCTAATTCACTTACTGCCAAAGATGGAATTAGCCCTTTTACAAAACTGTGAAATGAGTTGTGCCGTTCAATAATAGGGCTAAACCCTCACTTAATTCGTTTAGCAAAATTTCTAATCCAGGTCCTGGAAGGGTACCTGTTGATAATAGTAAAATTGGGTATTACAGCACCTAAGGTGCATGCCCCCTTCCAGTTGGGGGTAGAATCTTATAAGCATTTTTTCCACATAACCAATACCATCCTTTCCCTTTAGGAACGGGCCATCACTGAACTACGATACCATCCATATTAATTGTATGATTGCAATTTGAATGGTGACCTACATCTGTGGCATTTAAACAAGCCTGATCTCCTACCCTGGTTTCTGATGTAATACATCTTTGTGCACAGGTGTAGTATTTATTACCTGGGTTAGGATTGACTATTTCAAATGTTAACCTTTCCTTCGAATACAGATTGCTAGTGTTCACCCACAAATTTGTCCATGAGACAGTGTTAGGAACTGGAACTCCAATTAATGGGAGATCCAGGCTTTCTCCTGATTTAGGCAACTGTGCACACACCCAACAGTCACTCTGATTAAAACATTAGTAACATTCTGCACTAATTTCAGGTATAAATTCTGGTCCCAAGCTTGTGCGCCAGATATTATGAGAGTCCAAATTATGACTGACAAAATTTCATACGCAAGGGTACCGAAGGTCCGATCCACCCTGTCTTCTCTGGCTTTGGTGCTTTCTTTATTCTTGAATAATGTATCCAAGCAGGTTGTTCCTTTATCTTCACTGCTGTAAAGGTGATCAATAATATCTGGTACGGTCCGCTCCACTTCTCCTGTAGAGGATTTCCTGAAAAATTCTTAACATAAACCCAGTCTCCAGATCTGAAAGGGTGAATTGGATAATCCAAACCTCTTGCACTTTTCCCTATTATCTCTTCCAATTGTTTTCCCAGATTGATCAGAAACTGTTGGAGATAGTCTTCTCCCACTTCCTGAAGACTTTCTCCTTTAAACTGGGACTGATACGGTCTTCCATACAAAATCTCAAATGGGCTAACCTCTTCTTTTGACCAGGGTCTAGTTCGAATTCTTAATAAAGCCAGTGGTAATGCCTGGTACCAATATAAATTCGTTTCCTGACATATTTTACTAATTTGTTGTTTAATCAGATGGTTTATCTTTTCTACTTGCCCACTGGCCTGAGGCCTATATGGAACATGTAGTTGCCAATCAGTTTCTAATTTTTTGCTAATTTCTTGTAACAATTTTGCACTAAAGTGCGAGCCTTGGTCAGAAGAAATTGCATCTGGTACCCCAAAACGAGCTTATTATCTTGTTAAATAATATTTTAATCACTTGTTTTGCATTAGTTATTCTATAAGGGAATGCTTCTGGCCAGCCTGAAAAACACCAATAAATATCAATAACCCCCTTTTTTTTTTTTCTGTAATTCAGAAAAATCTTTTTGACAATGCTGTCCCTGATAACTTCCTCTACCAGTTGTCCCAGTTTGATTTCTATTTTCAGTCTTAGGATTATTCTTAAGACATAGCTGACATTGTTTTGTCACTAATTGAACTGTGGTGTATAGATTCCTTCCTACAATTTGTTTGTCTAAATATTTATGCAAAGAGTTGCTACCCCAATGAGTTTTATTATGTTCTTCCTGAGCTAACATCCAGAGCTGGTTATAGGGGATTACAATTCGCCCATCAGGTATTTGAGCCCAACCCTCTATT